GAAAAAGATGGTAATCTGATGGTGCCATATCTGGAGAATATGGTGGGGGAGAACTTCTCAGCCTAACTCCATAATCTTGTGTTGCATCAAACATGCCACATGTGGATGTGCATTGTTGTGGAGAAGAAAAACACCTTTCCAATTGACGAGTGAAGGGCTTAATTTAAACATTCCAGTTGCTGACTATAGATCTCTGCATTGACAGTTCGCTGTAGATTGAGGAGTTCGCTATGAGTGACTCCTTTGATGTTCCTCCAAATGCAAAGCATCACTTTCTGTGGATGGAGTCTAGGTTTTGGGGTTGAAAGTGGTTTTTGTCTATGACTGAGCCATTGTTTTTGGTGTTTAATATATGCATAAAAAATCTATTTTTCATCATCAGTGACAATTCTGTCCAAAAATGGTTCACACGCATTATGCGCCAGAAGAAATGAAGCAATGTTCACACATTGGAAATGATGATTATCAGAGAGTTCATGAGGCACCCAAACACCTTCGTTATGGTGTTTTCCCACATTCCTTAGATATTTACATATTGTTTCATGAGAGACATGCAATTTCAGGGCCATTTCACGAGTGTGTGTGGCCTTGGGTTAGACTCAAAAAGTGTCTTCAGATCATCAGTATCAATTACAACATGTTGGCCCCTTCCATCACAGTTTTTAAGGCTAAAATCACCTGAACGAAATTTGCTGAACCATAGCTGACACTTACGAATGTTCAAAACACTTCCATAAACTTCTTTGATATTCTTTGTGGCTGCAGAGGCATTGTTTCCCTTCTTGTATTCAAACAGCATTACATGCCAAATGTGTGTCTCGTGTTCTATCACTATAAGGGATTAGAGTATACAAAACTTAACATATTATATAGACTAAATTAACGTGACGTTTACTCAGTTCGTTTAACTATTATACATGATGTATGGTTTTTTGGGGAGGGGGTGATGAAAGTGTTCCAAACATGACATTAATTTCTTGACGACATAATATAATATGCACAGAACTCTAATTGTAATTGTAAATATTGAGAATCTGTCAGAAAATTTGTTAAATACTGTGATGTTACATCACTATCACTGCAACAATAATACCATGAATACCATTGTGGATGTTTTCAATACTGTGATGTTACATCACTATCACTGCAACGATAATACCATTGTGGATGTTTTCAATACAGTGATAAACTTGTGTACCAAAATGCGACATTAATTTCTTGGCAATCTAATACTTTATCTTGTGTACTTCAAATATTTTATACATCTATTACAAGATAATTAAAAATTGTTAATTTAAAAAGGAGAATAGGGATCATTAAAAAAGTGCATAGAAGTTAAATCAAAATGCAAAGATTGTATTTTCAAGCCTTGGGACTCTAAAAAAAGTAAACAAACTAGGCTGGAAATAGTGTTTACATTATTTTCTCAAGCTACAAAACCCTACTTTGACTCCATGTCGACAGTACTTATCCAAGAGATATATCAAGTAAATGAAAAACAAAAACATCAGCTAACAGTAATGATTTCTGTACTTTTACAAAACTTGTTCTTGTAGCAAATAGAGATTATTTGACTTTGTGACTGATTTGGAATTATGTTACGAGTAGATAAAAATTTTATAATCTCACATTAAACAGTCATAAATGACAAAAAAAGGATGATGATGAACTCAACATGCACCAAACATAACATTGTTTTTGTAATTATAACTAAGACTGTGGATGTTTTTTCTACTGTTACCGAGAGCTTTAATTTCTATTTTGGAACTTGTCACATATATGAGGAAAAGACTTTTCTAATATACGTTTGTGATCTTCAAATCTGTATTGTTTTTGTCAGATGGCTTTTACCTTTTTTTGATTTTTGTAAGTAACTTACATGTTGTAATTGATTAAATATAATTTTCAATTTAAAACTTTTTTTTGTAACTATACTTTTTTGGACTCCTTTTTGCTTGAGATCAAATTTTAGGCTCCATATCAAATCCTCCATCAGATGAACATTTGCTCAAAAAATAAAGTAAATAGGGTCCAGAAAAACACATTTCCCCTTTTACATCTTTTTGCTTTTAAAGCAGTTTTATTTCATATTTGTTTGTTTTTTCCAATAGGATTAACCAGCATGAAAACCACAATAAAATGTCACTACATAACTTAGCTACAGTATTTGGCCCAAATATCTTGAGACCAGGTGCCTACTCTACCAATTCAAAATCTGCAGACATTCTTGCAGCAAGCACTGTGGATGTTATGGCTCAGGCAGGAATTCTGTATTTTTTCTTGAAAAGACAAGAAGCTGGGCTTCCTTTAACTGTTGAATCCCCTAAATGAGGCTTTATTTTTCTATTGTATCTTTAGGTATATAAATGAATATGTGGGTTTTATTCAGTGGGTGTGTCTGGGTAACAACAAAAAACTTTGATAATTACATCTTCAAACAACTAAAGTTAATTTATTTGTTTTTCTTGATATAGTTAGGAATTTCTGGAAGTGTGATACGTTTTTTGACAAAGAACTTACTTTAACTTTTTGGCTCTAAAGATCATCAAGGCATTTGAAAGTTTAATCATAATTACTTAATACAAGTAGAAACGTAAACTTATAAAAATTATTTTTTTCAAATTTGCTAATTACTAATAAATGTCTAGTTATAGATTTTTAAGCTGTCATTCATGCAATTATCCTTAATATAAAAACATTTGATAGAGAATATTCTCTTACAACAAGAATTCATAGGATATTTTTCATGGTCACTTTTTTGTAAATTGTGTTTCAGATGTTTGTAAAAAAGCTTAGCATATACTTTTGTGTGTGAGGTTTTCTAAAAAGAATTTATTTTATTGTATTATTCAGCAAAGTAATCAATAATAAAGCAACAATTTCAAATTTAATGAATAAATAACACTCAGAATTAATTATTCTCATTATATATTGTGCTCACTTGTTCAGCAAATCTCTTTGTATCTTTTTTTTGTTCATTTTGTTATTGGTTGACCAAGTAACTTTGGCATGTTTTTCCTCCTCTCCTCTTTCTCTGAATGACATGGTAAGAGATACTTCTGTACAAGTCAGTGAACAAGAATATTTAGTTTTATATATATATATATATGTATGTGTGTGTGTGTGTATTTTTTAAATTATGTATGTATATATGTATGTGTGTATATATAATTCAAAATATTTTCAGGATTCTGCAGTTTTCATTACATAACTTTGATACTAAATTCCCCTTGCTAATTCTTTTGAGTAAAGGGAGATGTTAAAGTAAATGACTAAATACTGCTTTTCTGCATATGATGAATTTTAATAAGTACCTTGTTCTTGAGTAACAATATCGTAGCCAAAAGTACTTTTCAACAAGAATTTACTTAGAAAACCTTTTGAATTTTTTATTCAGCATTTCCTATTTGGTCATAATTGTACAAATTCTGAAAAGTGTCTGAGCTTTGATAAATTTATACAACGAATTGTTTTTGCTATCAAAAATGTACTATTTTATAATGTACAAGGTGTAGAACAAGTAATTTTTTTAAATATCAAATTTATTAAGATATTTTCTACAAAACATAGTTTACAAGCTTTTCCTGATGCATTTGGTATAATTAGCTGACAAACAAATTCGAAGTACGCACATTTGGACTTTTGAAGATTTCTGTGTTAATGGCAATATCTTCCTGTCTTAATACATACCGAGTTCAAAATACATTTGCACTGATTCAGCAGTTTTGTTCCTATCTGTAATGAAATTAGTTTTCAAACAAACCATGTGTTATTCTAATTTATAATTTTAGTGGTTTTCCAATATACACTTTTTAAAAATTACAAAAGAAAATTATAATTGAATTTTTTTTCTAAAATTAGATTTTAGGCAAACTTTTGTATTGAGAATATTGTTTTATCCAGTGGTAACGTGTTTTAAATAACGTTTATATATTCATTATATTTTTTACTGTTTTTTTTTTCAACCCATGATGAAATTAGTTCTATCCTAACATTGTAATATCGAGATGCAAATTTGACCTTAGACTTTGGTAAATAAAAAGTGTTTTACTTCCACCAATTGAAAATAACTTCCTTTAAACTATAAAATCAGTATTTTTAAAGCAGTATTTAATATATAATTCCAGTGGGTTTTTCTGTTTACCCATTTTTCTATAAATATTATTGCTTTTCCATGAACATTTCTTAATTAACAGAAATGATGGAGGATATGATTATAGTACTTAGAAACGATAAAATTTTTTTATAATTTCAATGTATAGCTGTTCCCTATTGTTATTTGTTTCAGATTATGTAGAGATTGTATACAAGCTACAATTAATTTAAGCAATTCATTATTTTTATGTTAGTTGATATTGTTAAGTTTGTTGTGTTATTAATGTAATAAAATTGACAATTCGGAGATAAACAATCTTGTATCTACAAATTGTATATGACTATGCAAGATTGTCTCACTTTGATTAAATTTAATTTTGGGCATAAAAAAAAATGAATTTTAAGTTAGCTTTTTTTTATATTTGTTTTCCACTTCTTTTATGAGATAACTTTAATTTATGCAGAGGTGACTTGATAATGTGCAAAGGCTTGTTCATGCATATTTAATTTTGTAATGTATTGTAGTGCAGACTGAAAATTTTTTTGTAAACCTCAGCTGAAAGTTAAAAACCTTAAAATGGTCTCCAATTTTTTATTGTTATTGCTTAGTAAGGGGCCATCTATTTAGTATGTACCCAAAATTTTAGTGATTTCTAACCCCCTATATACAAGTGTACCCCCTCCCCTGTGTGTGCATACGTAGTTTACATGTAACAACCACCTTATAACATGTAACCTGAATATTATTAATAGGTCACTGAAAGATATTTTGACCATTATAAAGGAGCATAAGTTAATCAGTGCAGAAGCAGTTGAATGGTTAATGAATTTAACAAGATCATGAGCCCAAATGCATATAGTTTTTCTGTATGTGTAGGTGCACTGTGTACGAACAGATCAAATACAAAGTTTTTATTTCATTTTTAAATTGTCTTTTTCAAACAACAGAGAAATTGATAATAGCAAACCAAAAGTGAATTAATATGCAAAATAGCATATAAAAACAATATTGATAATATGTGAAGTCAAAAAAAAATCAAATGAATCTAGTTCTACCTATTATTGTATTCCCAAGTACACATCATTGCCTTAAATATAATGCAAAACATGGGCATTTGTGTTTCTGTTGTGACCGCTTGGTCTTGTGGAAAGGATTCATGACTTGGGTCGAAGTCTTTCTCACAGTCCTCCAAGGCCTTGTCTGGCTCTGTACTTAGTTCATGACTATGTCTTCTCATGAAAGCAATCAATGGAAAATATATCCCACACATTTTGCATCTTCTTCGAGACAACTCACTGTGAATCTTTGGACAATAACATGTCATAGCGGACCTCTCCATAGAAACCTGCATTCTTTGCTGCATTTGACATCACATACCATAAGGTGAGTCTTTGACCTACAGTTGCAAATTCAGTCTGATGAGGTTCCAGAACATCTTCAGGTTCAGGTATCTTTATACCTTTAGCATTCCAGGTAAAAGGAAATTGAGCCGGTAGGAACCTTGCATGCATGACATTCATCCAGTTTGTATGCTACTCTCTACAACAAGCTTGGTTACTGCATTTATCTATTTAAAGCAAGTATTGTGATTGGCTTACGTGCTTTACTACCCGATCTTACTTACTTCAAGCTGCAAATCCTCAGCATTAACATACTCTGCCTTAACTTGATGACCATCAGTCACAACCCTCAGCGAGTCTTTCACCAGCCTTCTTGAAGTTGGCTCTTTCAAGTTCTGGATCAATGGTCTTGTCTGAACCATCCAGATGCAATTAAAAACTGTCATGCGGAAGGATTAAACCTGACAGATCATGACTAAGTGGTGCCATTCTTATTTCTACTTGGTTATAGGCAAAATGGCCGGGCACATGAGTGAATGTAAAATATGCATCAAAGTTATGGTTTTTGAAGTGCTCTACTCCAACTGCAAGAGTTTTGGGTAATCTAGGATTTTCATCTGGTCCACCATTGATACTGAGAACAAGAATTGGCTTGAAAACACATGTAGCAAAATCCTTCAGGAAGGGTATGAACGATTCCTGGCCCAGAAGATTGGCGAAGTCTCGCACGTGGGCGTACAGTTACTTGTGTCATGCTTCCCACTACGAATAGCAATGAAGGTAGGTCTGCTATAAGTGAGCACACAAAAATATGTTTGAGGATTTATGTTGCATGCAGCATAACCTTATGGTATAAATATATGCCTCTGTGCAATCTTAAAATCGTAGTCTGGAAGGCACACTTTGTATTCCATATGCATCAAGATTGGAGCTTGGGCAGTTGCCACAGTAAGACTCGGAGATACACATGCCTTGTCCTCAATGCTTAGAAATCCAGTGGCATCTGGACCAAACCATGAGCATATTTCATAATATAGCTGTGTGAGGCTAGTGCAAAGTTGGCATCTGAATGTGTGTTTTTCTCATAATGTTTTGGGCCCTCATGAGTTTCACTGGAACTATGTTTACGTGACATTTTCCCTCATTTGTATCACTTTGGTAAGGTGGAGTCTTAAATATGATGCACTATGGCTAAGCACAAAACCTATTTGTTGAAGGGTTTCAGATAAGTCGTCAAGATTCCTACATGATTTGAGTTTATTGCTCTGACACCGATCATCTGTCACTGCTCCTAGATGCAATTTTATGGATAGCATTCGACAACTGAGGCTGATCCACATCAATCGAGGGTCTTCCCTTTTGTTCTGTGTTGAATTTCGTCAGCTCGGGTTAGATTCGGCCAGCTTTACAATTTTCGTTTTTAATTCTAATCAATGCTGATGTTCAGCTTCTGCTCCTTTTCTTTAAGGTCAGCTCGGAGCTTTTCAAATTTTTGATTGTCATTGTGAGATAACATACCGGCATCTTTTAGTTGGCAATACATTTTGATTTTCATTCTAATATCAATCACATTCTGTTCAGTTTTGTCCTGCTTTGGATTTTGTATGTTACTTTTTCAGCTGGCTGTGTCATTCTCTTCACAATAGTTTCATCACTGATTCCTGCTTTATTGTTTGAGAGCCTGACTGTGTTTGTCAGAGTTGAAATTTCTTTCTGTCTAGTATCACTTTCTGTGTCTGCAGAAGCTATGGTAACCATACACAGCTTTTTAGTTAGCGTTGTACTGCCTTCTTCAGTTCTGTAAGAATGTGACACCATCTGTAAAATAAACAAGTTATTACACGTAGATCAATAGGCCTAAACATACATCATATTGTTAGTGTTGAAATGTCCAAAATACCATAATTCACTTAGTGGGACAAAACTATAAACAAACAAATTACTTTTGACTAAAAATGACATGAGTGTCCCCTTTTGCTTTAAAATCGAGCTTTCACCATACATCAAGCTGGGCTTTCACATCTGCATTCTTGGTTGATGATGTTTTTTTCAGGGTTCACCATATTGCCCTCACTTCCTTTTAGACGTTTGCTTTTGTTTGATTGGGGAAGGTTTTTCCATATTCTTCTATAAGACTTAGAAACAATTTTTCCACCATTGTACTGTATTTGTAGCATTAGTTAGATTCGTCATTGTCACTGAACATGCTAAATTCAGGCTACTACAGTATATAACAGTTTTTAAGCAATGTCATCATCATAACATGAGAAAGCTCAACAACATGCCTATACATTCATGTGACAGAACCCCACATGTACATAGTAAAAAAAACATCAAGTTGCAACATTGTACTACTGTAAGCCTATTAATATTCGTGAACGATTGATATTTGAGAAGATTTCAAAACCTTTATGTATACTGTTATGTTTGTTTACAATAAAACCCACACTATTTAGTTTTCATCAAGAAAAAGAAAAGTAGACCTGACAATACAATATTAGTCTGTCTTTAGTGAATGTGGAGTCTTATCATATTAAAACTGCAAACCCATGAATTATTTGAGGTTACCTACGTCAAGCATGTCTGTTATGGCGATACACACCTCTTGGTGTTTGAAAAAGTTGTTTAACCATATTTTAATTATACCAAAAGTACCCAATTTAATTGAATTTCATATTGTAACAATCCTGAATTTAATTTTACTGGTCATCTTTCAAAAAGTGAACAACAAATAGTTTTATATGACATTTATTGACAATAAAAAATTGGATACAGTGAATCCAAACCAATGAGTGTCACAGAAAAGAAAAATAAATTATTTTTGACTTCAATCTAGAATGCCACAACAGCTTTTAATCAATTCAAAGTCAGAACCTTCCACACAGGTTCAAAAGTATATATTGGACAGGCAGACTCCCATGAATGTATGACTTAATAAACATTATAGGCTGACTGATGATTATTATTGATCGTGTTTGTGTATACAGTACAGCTTATATCGGCACATGTATTAAAATGAATCACAATTATCACTGATTACAGATTGATAAAATTTTCTGTGCATATGCAAAATACCAAATGCATTGCTGTCAACCCCCAATCCCCTGTACACATGTATACTTTGATAATCCCCCCCAGAACTTATACACAACAATGGATATTTAGAAATGTGGAGCATTTCATAGTAAAAATTTAAAATAACTTACAATAAAAAGATTTTAAAATGTAGCTCATGGAATAAATATTCCATTTACTGAAGTTTCCTGATTTGTAGTTTTGGTTGTTTTAAAATTGTTCATATACTACTATTCTGGCATAATTTCAGATTACTCTGGTTTGGATGAATGCTATCAATTCTTGATGAACTACTTACATACACAAACCTAGTTTGTTTGTTTTTAATTATTATAGTTTCAAAATTTTATGTTATTTAAGCAAGAAATCTACTTCTCATTGGGAAACTGAAAATAGTAACTTATGTAATAACACAATTTGTGTATCTCCACTTAATTATAAAGCAATGAATTCTTTGTATTCTACTTAGAATCATAAGATAATAGTTTTTGCCTTATCCAACCATATAATATCTTTTCTTACCAAAACCACAGGTAATGAAAGTCAATTTGTGGTGATAATTCATACTATCTGAATATATTATTGTATACTTTGTGCTTATTTTTAACTACTTAAAAATAGTTTTATATTGTGTACATTTGTATATATATATAACAAAAAAATTACTGAAATGGAAAGAAAAACATTGTGTATCAGTTAAAATGGGAAGAGGTTTACTAACTTGTAGCTTATTTGTGAATTGTGTCTTCTGGATGTTTATTTGCTTTGATTAATAAACGTTGTTTCTTACCATTCTGTTCTCCCTTCAAAAGTTATGATTTTCTTAGTTTTATTTGAAAATATTCTGTTGTGTTGATATATAACAAGATATGCATTTCCTATCTCAATGTCACTACAAAATTTGTCAACATTACTACTAATCAGAAGTTTTGAAATATAAACACCATTTCCTAATTTTAGTACAATTATAATTATGAGTAATCATCTTAAAACTTTTTCAGGATGTTTTACTAATCATCTTTTCATATCATAAAAATGGTAGAAGTGACGTTTAGCATCAAGAATAACAAGACACATTAGGATGAACATTATTCTTAGCAATTGGTCATACAAGAAGTGAAAAACTTTAATGTCTTTAATTGCAACCTCAACATTAGAAGCTTACATGCAAGACACTATACAGCATATATTACTAAGTATGAGGTAATGAATGAAATATTAAAATAATTGTGAAAATTGGTAATGAAAAGATGCTTTGATAGCATTATCTTCATTTTGATCTCAAAGATGACAGATCTAAGCAACCAAGAGATTAAAACTTAATAGCACAGCCACATTGCTATAAAAATTGAACATTCAAATTAACTATAAAACACTATAGAAATTGAAGAAAGTAAAACAACATTAAAAAAATGTTTTATTGAAATTATATGCAGTGCTAGAAGGCTTGTTACACCTCTTAACATTGATAACATTTGAAACTACAATAGCCTTCTATCAGAAATGAGATTTTTACATCGATCCCACAATACTATAACTTTTCCTGCCTACGTGTGTTGATTTTACACCTATTGTGTGTTGTTTTGTTGCATTTAAAAAAAAAACTCCTAGGTAAAATTATTTGAAACTTCAGTTGAAGTTTCTACAGTTTATGTAGTTTCTGTAAATAATAAATTTTGAAAACATTTCTTTCCTGAAACAAAAATTATTGTTTTTGTTGTGGATTTTAGTGTCTTCCTATATGCTTGTAAAACTTTCCTTTAAAACTAAATTTTATCTTTTGTTATTTTTCAAAGAACAATGCAAGTAGTATCACATTACTCTATATACAAGTCTACATTAAAATGGAAGCTATGTTGGGCCGTATAGCTGAAAGGAACAGAAAAAGAGCTTTAATCATATTTTTAGATTGCTAGCGGATGAGTTCTCAAGATTGAGGTATAAATTACATCACATCACAACAACAGTGACTGAATAAAAATGAATATAACCACACTTGTATTCAAGTTGCAAGTTAAAATTAACATTATTTTGATCAGAGCTATTATGAATTTCCTCCTAGAAGGTTACAAATGCTGAATTATTCTTGGAAAAAATTCCAAAATTCACAAGCACTTATAATTTCTGTCAGAACATGCTAAAATCAAAATGTTTTTTATTTTTATGTATAAAATTAAATAGATAACTTTTACGGAATAAATTTCAAATCTGAAGAACAACAATACAAGTTTGTTTTGTATAATTTGTTTTTAATTAAGTGGTGCAATTTTTCCCTTAAGGCAGGAAACATCCTTCTGGGCTATAAGAGTTAAAAACTTGAACATATAATGAGAATCCTACATTATTCTGGACAATTTATGTACTATATTCCTTGTATATCCAAAATTGTGTTCATTACAGGTTCAATAATAACATAGAAACTACATCTAAAAAATGTAAACAAAACTACTATTCATATATAAATTAACCACACTAATCACTGCTGGGATTCCATATGCATTTTACAAAGAAAATTTACACTTAGTGCTGTAAAAAACAAAACAAAATTGCCTTAATAAAATGCAATACCTCGATTCACCAGTAGTGAATAGTTACAAATGCAAAAGATGTTTTGTGTAGTTCTAAGATATATATACATACATAACTTGTATTCTGAGGTTAAATGATTAGAAGGACATGGAGAAGAATAAGGTCAAAACTTGCTGATACAACTGTCTGGTTTAATTAAAAGGAAGCATTGTTATCTGAAGTTCATCTAAGTTATTTAAGCAGATAAAACTACATTTTTCAGTTAAATTTAATTATATATATAATAATAATTTTTAAATTCATATTACATAATAAAAAGCAACTTTAACTTATTTAACAGTACACATGGTTTCATATTGTAATAATGCATTAAATATCTTAATACACAATAATATGCTATTCAATGTGTTAAAGCCTTATTTAGAAGAGTAACACAGAATTTTTTTTATATCTACAGTATAAGTTTAAAACAGTCAGGGTACACTGGTTTAAAATTTTCTAGTAATGAAATTAATTATTAAAATTAAAGAAACTGTCCAATAGGATATGAAATTAGTAACATTACAACTATATAACAACCATTAATAGTTTTTCAATTTGGTTTTAGTAAGTATATGTTTTACTATAAACTGCTGTCTCTACTTTTATTTTTTAAATGTTACTTTCAAGTCTGAAGAACCATGAAGTTGATGTAGTGCAACCCTAAGATAAAGATTTTACAGGTCACTGACCAAATTTAATGTCAATACAAATTAAGTTCTCTCTCGGTACCAGACTTCCATAACAACTTGGCATGGAGACCGAACTGACCTCCAGCAATCAAAATAGAGTCAGGAGAAATCCATAAAAAAGAAAGGACTATGTATGAACAGTCATATTTTGTTAAAATTCATTTTAAGGCCTTTTCTACTTGCACAAAGAATCAGCTTTACCAAAGACTTATGAAATGTTATTATGGTTAAGGATTATCTAATAGAAGGTACATCCACTTTGACTTGAAGTATATTCTAAAATATATTTTGTTTGCCTAGAAAACTTTGCACTTGCCACTAGTTTGGAAACTGAAAGAGAGAAAAAAAAAGATTATAATTATATAACAATATAATATTTTATTTATTTGAAATTAATATTAAAGTTTTTAAACCTCAAAAATTAAACACATGTTTATACTTTTATCCACAAATCACTGTGTCTATGTTTGCACACAAGCCATAAAAAGTATAAGAGGATGAGTGATATAATCTGTGTATCATTAAGATTACACACAATGTAGAATATTATAATTACAGTCAATGCAGAACATGAGAGTTTTATGCTCAGCGTAGATTATTGAATTTAAAGTAAGAGAGGATTAATGTAGCTACAGAAAGAATTATAATTTGTGGGAAATGTTGGAACTTCAGAAGAACAAGAATTACAGTCAGATAGAAATAAAACAGTTAAGTAAAATACAATAATTATAATTTGGGGGAAGGGGTATTTGGGTTCCAGAAGAATACAAGAATTATAATATTGGAGCCACGGAAGAAGACAAGAATATGGGAATTACAGTGAGGCATACTAAGTCTTAGGTTGTAGTAACCTAAATAATTATGTATTTGAGTTACAAGTTATTACCTATTTACCCTTCTGATGTTCCACAAAAAATCACGATGTTGACATTTTGTCACTATTGATATGACCAATATCTCCAATGCTATATGTAATGACTCGTCCATTTGGTCGAATAACAATCCAGGTTATGCTACAGTTATGAAGTGTGAATCTCAACCAGGCTTCTGGAGGGAACTGCAGGGCTCTTTAAAAATAATAATCATTAGGTATTTTTATCATTGCATGTTTCACTTTAATCGTGAAGCTTTTCTGACTTATATAAATGAATGAGTCTTACATACATCCACATAATTTAAGGACAATAATGGACTTATTTCTGGGTCATCCCATCCACTATACTAAACTCTTAAATAAAAATAAAACACTCAAAGCTAGTCTTTTATCCTTAAAATGTTTATCAAACCTTTCCTTAAATTAACCTTTATAATCCTAAACACATCAATCATTGTGGTCAAGTGCAATTAAATCCCATTTCAAATATTCTCCTTCTTATTGGGCTTAATGATACTACCTCACAATTTTAAATTTTTGAACAATGCAGGAATAAATTTTCACAGATTTGGGTACATATTGTTAGAACAAAATTAACTCCTGAAATTCAAACTATTCTCTCACCTGCAAAGAAAATAACGAATTACATTTGAATGGCACACTAGTACGTCATAACTATCACTTTCTTGGCTTGGTAATGCTCTATGAAAGTATTTCCTGAAGGCAGCTTCAATCCTGGCACCATCTTGGTAAAAATTCTAGACAAAATTATGACTGTGAATAAATATTATGATTATAAATATACACGAGCCTTAACATCATAGTAATACATATATATTCATATTTAACTTGCATTCCCAGATTCATCACATGGTTTGTTTTATTGCATTGCAAAGAAACTACAGGATGAAAGTGTTTGAAACTTGACATGAACTTTCTGCAGGTTATGTAGCTGCTGACAAATAATATATCTTATTTTTATATGTGACATTCGTATGAATTCACAACTTTATAATGTTGAACAGATTTTGTTGTGATATATTTTCTTAAGAAACAATTAAAAGTGCTTACCTTTTTGTACATTTCAATTACTGTTTATGTCTTCCTACATTTTTATTAAACCTTCTAGTAGATTTTATTCTATAAAAATAAATTTATTCTTTGTTTTGATTCAAAAATGCCACACGAAGTTTCACAAGCTAGCATACAATAAAAATATCTTTTTTTACCATATCAAGATTGCAAACAAGCTGGCTTATTTTTTAAATTGTTAATCATAAGGTTTCTATTAACATGTGTAATCAGTTTTGTATTAATTTATATACATAAGGTTTCTATTAACATGTGTAATCAGTTTTGTATTATTTTATATACATAAGGTTTCTATTAACATGTGTAATCAGTTTTGTATTACTTTATATACATAAGGTTTCTATTAACATGTGTAATCAGTTTTGTATTACTTTATATACATAAGGTTTCTCTTAACATGTGTAATCAGTTTTGTATTACTTT